TGAAAGGTAAGATGAGAGGTGAGATGAATGTGGTTGAGGGGTCGAGTTATGACCCTAGTGAGGTTTATATAGTGTAAACATGGTCAATGCATATGCATCTATGTGTGATCCTTTCTGCATGTGTGTAATTGTCTAAATTTTGTTGCATGATTATCTGTTACATTTTAATATGTTTGATATGTGCATCTATATGAATTTAAGACATTAGGATGACTTGGTGTAATTGTTTGCATGCATAGTGGGTTAGGATGCATTAGCAGTCTGTTGTGTATCTTTTGGTAAGGTGGAGTGTAGATGCCTAGGGATACATGGTGGTTTGTACCGAGGATGTGGAGTGTGACATTTGGGTCACGAGTGGAGATGTGATTAAATGTCTAGGATCCTTTATCTGTAAAGAGACCCTGATCGGGTGGAGTGTGAGAGAGACACTTCTATTAGGTGGAGACCCATTATCCACGTAGGTTGGGAGAAGTGATGTGGAGATAGAAGATTATTCCGTGAAATTATGATCTATTGTGACCTACTAGTTAGACATGAGTTGGGTGATCAGTCTAGTAAGCATGTTAGGTGATGAAATGAGATATGTGTTCTCGAGGTGTGAGTAACACGGAATAGGATAGGATAAGTGTGGTGAGATCTTTTCTTAGGGTCATTTATGCATGTGTTGCATATGTGGTTGACCGTGGTTTGATTGACTTGGTGTTAATCTATGGTTCTATGTGAACGTATTTCTGAAAAGATCTGTGTATGTTATCCTGCAGTATATCATCATCGCATGTGTATTTGCTCTTGATTGTTTACTGTTAAATATTTACTTCTACTTGGGCGTTTTTTGACCTTAGCCACAGTGAGTACATAGAGCAGGTATGGTATGTGTTTCTAGTTGGAAACATGATGTAAGATCTGTGATCCAATTTTATTGACTACCTTGATTATGCAAGTGTTAACTGTGTGTTTTGATTGCTTGCAGATTTATTGGACATCAAGGTGAAAATTTGTTGGATTTTTTATACCCAATAAATCTGAGGCTATGATGTTAACGTGGGTTAATATTATTTCATACGTATAGGCCGATGAATGAAATAAGTCCAACAACCAAGTCCATGAGTTACACCCAATCTAATTGTATTCCCTCTAGGAAGACTTGAATCTTGGTCCGTTTACCTCTTTAAAGGTCCAACTTAAAGCCTAACCCTAAAGTATATATCTGACTATAACCCTAGCCATTTTCTTATGATATTTTGTGTGGTTTTGAGAGAAAAAAGAGAGGAATCCCGGCTACCCCCTTTGTGTGTGAAAAATTACCTCTAGAAGTGTCCAAAATGCTTGTGTAACCTGTGCAATTGGTGGTTCCTTCATAATATACCTTTGTGGTGTCTTCTCCTAACCTTTGTGGCCACAAATCATCATCTTTTTTTGTCCTACATGGGTAAGATTGAATAGCAACCGAGGTGAATTAATTGGTTGTGGTTTGGAACTGATTGGACTAGTTGTTGGTTGAGAAAGGTGTGTTGGATTGAGTCCGAAAATCACCAATTTGAAGATCTTTCAAGAGAGCTTCCGCAACAATCCTGATTAGGATACATATAGAATGCACAAATTGTATCCAAAGTTCACTCCTCAACATATTTGGATTCTACATCAGAAATCAGCAAAAGATCTCCATCTCTCAAATAGTTCTCAGTTATGTTGGCTTCGTTCGAAGTATTTGATTGGTTCCCATAATTTGCAATCGAATTACCTTTACTCTGCAACTTTTCGCAATCGTTCTTGCTGTGTCATTTCCTCTTACAATAAAAAAACCAGATTGCTATAACTCGACCTCAAGTTATCCCTTTGCCGATTACTATAAACTACAAGAGCTTCTCCACCTCTAGACTCAGCTCCAACCAGATGCTTCATCTTCTCCTTAGAGAACAAGGCATCATACACGTCTTAAATGGTGAGTGTGTTACGATTGTACAAAATCGTGTCCCTGAACGATGAAAAGAAGTAGCCAATGCGCACAACAGGATTAAGGCCAAGTCCTCTTCATCATATTTTGTCTCTAACGTTTTCAAATTAACGATGATCTCCTTGAACATGGTCAAATGGTCTTCCAAAGATCCTCCTTCTACCATGCGATGAAAATATAGCATCCGCTTCAAATGCAACTTGCTTGTCAGACTTTTGGTCATGTACAAATGCTCCAACTTCAACCACAATACAGCAGTTGTCTTTTCCTTCAAAACGTCATGAAGAATGTTGTTAGATAAATGAAGATAAATCTGTGAAAGTGCCTTCCAATCCTTCTGTTGCTTCTTCATATTTTATCTCTAACGTTTTTAAATCAACGATGATCTCCTTGAACATGGTTAAATGGTCTTCCAAAGATTCTCCTTTTACCATGCGATGAGAATATAGAATCTGCTTCAGATGCAACTTGCTTGTCAGACTTTTGGTCATGCACAGTTGCTCCGACTTCAACCACAACGCAGCGACTGTCTTTTCCTTCAAAACATCCTGAAGAATGTTGTTAGATAAATAAAAATGAATTTGTGAAAGTGCTTTCCAATCCTTTCATTGCTTCCCTACTCCAAACGTTTGCTAGCAAAAATTCGACGAATTTTCTTCTCGATCCATAATTTTGAACTTTCTATGACCACTTCAATTAGGACTCAAATATCTAGTAGAATTTGGGTCACACTACAACACACTTAACTTTATCTGTTTTCTTGACATGTACATTTGGGTGAGGAAATTATACCACACAATTAATTTAATTTTGAAATTATTACAACATTGCAATTAATTTTTTTATATTCTAATTTGTATCTTTAATTCTCATTTACTTACTTTCAAAACCTAAAAACACTGTCATTGATTTTCTTCCATTTTCTCTTTTTGGTTCTCTTCTCAGCGTTGGGTATATGCTCAAATTTTTTATTCGACATCATGTTACAAACAAATATTAATTCATATTCATTGATTATTTTTATTAATAGCATTTAATTTTTGTGCAAATAATTAAATGTTCCATAATCGTATATTATTATGAATTTGATTACTTACATTGCTAAGTAATAGGTGCTCTTTATAATTTTTTTTTCTAACGAACAATTTAATAAGAGTTCAGTACTTTAACATTATTATTAATCAAAATAGTCACTTATAATTATTTTAATGATTGAAAGGGACGAAATGTTAACAACTGTCATGAGTAATTAATTATTGAAAAGCTTCGATAATTTTAATTAATTTAAGAGGGCAGTTTCGACCATTAGTGGATATAATAAAAAATAATGTATTAATCTCCAGTGGTCAAAATTTAATCAATACAAGAATTAACAAATTTGAGCTTAAATCAATAGCGTCCAGTTAGGTTCTTTTGATGGCTTCAAAATAAGAACTAAGGTTAAATTATAAGTTAACGAGGACTACACAATTAAATATTTACAATTAATACGGACAGAATACGTGATACTGTGATTACCAAAATTATTGAAATGTATCTAGACATCAATATTGTCTGGAGATGTGTAGATATGTTCCATATCTCTCAAAGAATAAAAATAAAATCATGAAAAATTAAAGAAAAACGTTTTCTTCTCTTTTGTAATTTTCTTTTATTGAATAGTATCTAACTTGATTTATACGCATCGACGAAGTTGTGTTGAGTACAATAAGATTAAAACATGAGATTATATTAATTAAAATTTCAGTTGCTACCCATGAATAATATTCTATCCAGTTTTTGGTTTTCTAGAATCCCATATTCATATATGATGTTGCTTTTGAATCCAAATCCTAACACTCTGCTCTTTGATGGAGAAAAGAGATTATTACTTCTGCAAAGTTGCAGGTCCAAGGTATTTGTTCATATAAAATGCTATATTTTATTTATAAACCAAACAACTGTTTTTTCATTAACCTTTCACGAGTTGTGATTGTAAATTGAAAACTAGCAAAGAATGTAATGAAAACTTATTTTCAACCTAATCTAGCTATCTCTGATGCGAACTGCTATGTCTCTAACCTTTTTTAGGCAAGAGCATAGCTTATCACTCATTCAACTGATCGAGCAATTTTGGCCTGGAGATTGCTCTTCAGCTGTTCCCTTCGTAGGACGAGAGTCAGGGTAAGCATTCAGACCAATGGGTATTGGATCCGAATAATAGCTTTCAAAATTGTATATCAAGAAATGAAACACGTAATAGAGTTCATGGTCGGAAGCCTGATCAGTATTCGCAGTATGTAACAAGTTTGACTCTAGGAAAAAAGAGACAGAAAAAGGTACAACCTGTATAGGCTATTAAAACAGCCAACCTTTCAATGTTTTTTAATACAAATTTGATAATCTTCTGTATTAGATTCTGATAACTGAAACAAGATCAGCTGCTCACACAATATTAGTCTTTTGTGGAGAAAATTAAATGAGGACAATCTATCCTAGAAATTTGAAGCTCATCAACTAATGGTAATGGGTCTATAAGAATTTATCTGTAATTAAGTCATTCACAAAACTTGCATCAACGAAAGGTGAAAAAATATGTTAATGATCTTCTTATAATATCAGGTTACTAAATGGAATATACAAGTAGAATCCATTAGGCTAGAATAGACCTGAAATATTTTTGTCCTTAAGCATTAGCTATTAGGATATTAGAGACCGGATCTGAAAGGAAAAGTTAAAACCCTTCAAATATTTGATCTTGACGGACGGAAAAAATTTATAAATGAAACTCTTATTTTTGTAGTTGGCTGCCATTGTTGAAAATCACAATCTCAAAAAGCTGCAGAAAATAATGATCAGGTTAATATCAAGAGAATGTATAGTAGAAGCAATTAGGTTTTAGCATCTTGATTAGGTCTAAGATGTAGGTCTTAACTAAACGATAAACCTTTTATTATAAAATAATGCTAGTAATTGAGCAAATTATATCCAAACCTTAGCAAGATCCCAGAAAACAATTATAGGGTCTTCTGACAGCAGAACATTTCTAGGGTTTCCAGCTCACAAGTGGCTAAAGAAGTCCATGCCTTCAGATTTTGCATTTATAATATACATAATTGAAAGAGTGCACATAAAAACCCTAATTATTACTGGTGAATTTTGAATTAATCAGAAGGCAAATGAGAGGAGATCATAAGCATCATCTTGAAATGACTATTGCCTGTTATTTGATAGCATTTCAAATGAATCCATGCTCCCAAATGAGATGTTATCCTTATGAAAATCTGAATTTTCATACTTCACAAAAGGGTTCAGATTTGTGTTTTGATTTTCAAAACAGGGCATATCTCCAGTTGTATTGTTCAAGTTAGGATCAAACTGGGACATCATGCCTTGATTTTGGAAGGACTGGGAGTACCAATTTTGAACATCTTGCAGAAAAGAAAGGCCATCCCTAGGGTTTGCAGTAATATTGGAGCTATTCGGGATGCACTGAGCTGCTTGTTCCTTGAGAGAAGCCAGTTGGGCTTGAAGATTGACAACCTAAAAACCAGCAAAGTAAGGAGAATGAATTTGAGAACTCAAGGTATAAGACTATTCGTTCCACGCTAAACATGAATAGGACTAAAACTAAATAATTCCATTTCAATATGAACATTGAGTAGAAAAGGGAACTACCTGCTGTTGGAGGGCAAAAATATGAGACACACAACCATAAGTTGGATCTTGTAGCCTAGCCTGAGCTTCATACGCGATTGTGGTGGTGGCTTCACGCCGATCACTTACTGGTAAGTGAGCAAGGAGTTTCGACACATTGCTCGCACCGAAAACCTTGTGAATTGCTGCAAAATGAGTAGCACCTTGTTCGTGGCAGAAATAAGGGGCAAACACACAACCTCTCACACATTTTCTTCTCAAGAATTTGCAGGCACCACATGGGGAACCAGACCCTGTCATCTTGATCTTAATGGGGGTTTTACTGATAATCTGCTCTTAGTTAACTTAATTAGTACAAGAATTTATTATCACCATGTTTATAAAGACCAGATGGGGAGGAAGGTGGATCTTATTTTATTCTATTCTTTATCATATGATGTTTCTTTATTGGGCAACATATTTCATTATTTTTATCGATAAAACTCTTTTTGATCCCTCCATCGAAAATTTTATATTCTGATTTAAGATTTCCATTCATTATCCTTAAAGGTCAAGAGAGCTATCATAAACCAAATCAATCCAGTTCTATTTCGATTATTGGATTTTACAAGGTCCATATTTCTTGAATGTAACATTAATTTTTATACTTCAATATTCAAGATTCTTCTGAAGTACATTAAAGACTTGTACATATAGACTTAAAGATGAAAATCATCAATATATGTAATATTTATGAAATAAGATGTATTCAACATTCTATAATATAGTTTCAAAGTGAAAAGAAAATTGTTTATGGTATACCGGTTTGTGATATACATGGAAGCTTAGGATTGCTCCATTACTCAAGCAGTATATAATTTGGAAGCTAAGTTTCTGCATATTTAACCATGTGAATACATATTTTTTCCATAAGCAGATACTTCTATGGATCAGATTTTTGTATTCCGTTTGTCCAAATCATTGTGAGTAGACTGTTCCAGTTTGTATGTAATTACTAATTAGTAGTGCCGGGATAAGAACTTATTATGAACAAGATTTTGCTTATTTTTCTTGTTTAGCCCTTGTTTGGTTCAGCTGAAAATGTTATTAAAACATAAATTAAAATTGACAATTAATTTTAATTGTACATTTTGTGGGATCCAAACTTTTAAACTAGACATTCCTTCAATTTTTATCAAAATTTTCTAAAGATCTGATTTTTATCTAAATCAAATAGGGCTTAATACTATCTAGTGTCAAATAATTTGAGGGGGAGGGGGGATTTACTCAACATTTTGCCACAGATGATTTGAAATGAGTTCTAGATTAGCATCCAATGTCAAACAACACATGAAAAATTTAGTGTGCATAAGATCACAATATTTCGAAAATTGAATATGAATCAAAGAACCTTTAACTAATTTGTGATGAGCACGTATTCTCGATTGAACTATAAGTATTTTGTTTACCATCAAACTCTTAATTAATTTACTAGATTAGAAGAGGTGGATTTCAACATAATAGGGCTTCACTAGCACAATTAGAACTAGTTAAGGCACCTGAGATAAGATAAGAACAGGCTATCAATAATGGAAATATATACCAAAACAGAATGAGAAAAGATATATAGTGACACTGGAATAAAACCATCTGACAATAGGGAAAGTATGTGTAGTATGAGAGAGAGAGAGAGAGGGGGGGTTTACTTTTTGGTTTGTCGATTTATTTATGTCTTTGGAGTTCACAGTTTGTCGAGCAATAAAAGTACTTTATATACTTTTATACAATGATAAATTAAGTAGATAATAATGTTAATCACTAGATCTCAATTCCTTTCTTGGGTCACTAAGAGCCGCCAACATTAAGGCTTATCAAATTAAGCCCTACTTCCAAAAAACCTAAGCATACCCTACTGAAATTGTCTCTTGAATTTAAGCATATAGAAATTATCATCAGCTTAGGAAATTTTGAAGATTTTGATCAGCACGTACAATCTAACGGGTATCGAGGAAATCCCACTTGTTAGAACAAGTGCACAAAGGTCTGGTCTAGCAGCAATATGGGAATGAATATGAAAATGTATACTAAACATTTAGGTAATTATATTTACGTCACATTTTTTTTAAAATGCAAAAAGTATTCATCTTTATTTATTATTATTAGTATTCTAAAACATAACTAGACGTGAAAGCCAAATTCCAAGCTTTACGAGTCTAGGTGAGCCTAGACGTATATTAGGAAAAAAAAAGTTATTTATTTTATTATTATCTTGATCATTCTAAAGTCATTTAATAATTAAATAATATGTAACAAACATCTAAAATTATAAAATACTATATTTACTTAATAATCCTACAATTTTCGAATTTTCGAAATGCAAAAACTAGATTATTTTTCCTAGTTACAAATTTCAACTTGAGAAATCCTACTAAATAGATTTATTGAAATTTCATACATACTTTCGAAGCTTCTAACAAAACAATAAGCTTCAAAATCATAATTACATAATATAGATACACCGTAGCTTAAATCTTTATCGGATAAAGTCAATTTTGACTTTTGTACAACTAGAGTCAATTTAAAATTTTGAAAATAGAGTCAAATAAAAGATTTTTTTTAAAAAGGGAAAAAATTAATAACTTAATTCGCATTTAGTGCCAAGACAAAACATTTTGTCTTAGCTTAGACATGCATTTTAAAACATTGATTATCACACATGTCCATAAGTTTTTTACTCACATTCTTATCATCGACCTTCCATTTATTGACACATTGTTTCGGATGGCAATTTTCATCCAAAAAATATGTTATCGTGCTTTAAAATAAGGGACAAATATATAGTAATACTTTTATGTTATTTTATATGCTTATTTTGAAAATACGAGGGACAAACAAGTCTTCTTATACCCTCTTAACATAATTTTTTGGACAGAAATCATCAAGTATAAAAATGTGCTAATTAATAGAAAATTGATAATGCGAATGTAATAAAAAAAAGTCCAAAATATAAGTATAATAAGTAAAATTTAATGCCATTAAAATGTAGTCCGCTTATTTTAAAATATGGAATCAATACAGCCGCTATAAAACATTTTTCGAATGCAAGGGAATATATTGGAGGGTCTTTTTGATTGTGAGGAAGATATGAATTTTTTGAACTTAAGAGACCATAATAAATTTACTCAATATCCTTCAAATAGCGAGTCTGAAATGGACGACGAGTCGAAAAGATACTAACTTCTCGGCACTTGACCACGAGAAATATGGTTAGATTTCATGATGTGTAGTTTTTGAGTTTTTACAATTTTCTCCTTGTCTTCTAGGGTAGGTTATTCTCTTTTGCACTTTTAACTGGAGATCCAACTGAGTTCCATATACAAAGTGTGTACCTTCCGTGGTTCAATTAAAAAAAAAAACTATTATTTAAATTTTGTGAACTATAAGAAATACTTAATAATCCTACACAAATAGTACTTATAAGCAGAAAAAATTGAATATCATATTGGATTATTAAAAACTTTACTTATCAAGAAATGAATAAATATGAAAAAAGGAATAGAATAAATTCAACTCAACTAAAGAGATTCTTTGAACTGTGCTATAAGATTAACAACCGTTGATAAGATAGATTATTACCTCATCATGCCATGTAAGGTGATGTATTTTATCAACCACCCAAAAAAAAAAAATAATAAATAAATAAATAAATAATCCTTTAACAAAAAGCGGCTTTGGGGATTTTCAAAAGGGTTGATTATAAAAATTTGTGGTGTAATTGAAAGTATGAACAGGGATTAAATGGACAAGTCAATCTGAGGTGTCCTTCTAAAAGATTAACATTATTGACAGAAAGTTCATTATTTTAAGAATTCCAATTAACTGACCTGCCTTCCTGTCTGCAATATTATTGTCTTCTTTCTTGCCACTCAAAATCTACCTACCCTATGTTTAGTTTTGAAGTTCTTTAATTAGAAACAAATAAGTGACCAAAAAAAAAGCCTTACTTGTTAAAAAAAATAATAATAACTAAATAAAATGCAAATTATTTGTAGCTAATTAAGTCCCTGTTTGGTAGGTTTTAGTAGATTTTAATAAAAGTTGATGAAATGTATGTTTGAAAAGTAGTGAATCCTATGAAATATAAAAATTATTGTTAACTTTAATTTAAATTAAAATTAGAATTTTAATTCATAAACGGGGGCTACAAATAATTAATAATGCTCCTATTTGTCATTTATTATTTCACATTCTATCACATTATTTTCAACTACACATTTTTCATTAAAATAATATTACATGCAAATCAAAACTTTCATTTCTTTTTTGGCTGCACATTGTTCATCAATCTACTAATCTATAATACATTTTTCAAAATTGAAAAGGCACAAACACACCCAATATTTATCTTTGTTAATTCTTCACGGTAACCAAGTAAGCAAGATAATTTTTCTTGCCTCTATAAACAAGAACCGTGTTATCATACGTACGACGCTTTAGTAATATTTTTTCCAAATTCCGTACAGTCACCAACTCGTATGTATGTAGGGATAGACAAGAGATGAATATTTAAATTTTGTATTATTGCATATGATTCCATGCATTCTATCTTTTTCCAACCAAATATATTTCAGGTGAAATCGTGTTTCCTGTTTAAACTTTACGAGACCACCGAGGAATTCATTCTTTCTTAAGTGAATTATAACTTGGCGTGAATTAAAATCAATAATTTAGTCGAAATTAATGTTTTATAAAAGATAAATCTAAATTGTGTTACATGTACAAATGTTCATCTTATTCTTTAGCAGCGACGGATCCAAAATTTTGATTGAGCATGAGCAATTATTGATCGTTGACCGCAAATAAAAATATTAAAAATTATTATATCAATTTATAATTTTCTAGATTGAGTATATATAATTTTTGTTATATTTATTGTCAATATTAACCAAATGATGTAGTGGCCAAGTTTTGCATAATTTAAAAGAGGAGCACGGGTCGAATATTTCCAATTGCATTAAAATTGTTAACTGAACATATAAAATTTTGTTACATTTAATGTCAAAATTCATCAAGTGCCATGATGGGCAAGCTTTCCATAATTTAAAGGAGAAGTGCACAGATTTGAATCATCCCTATTGCATTAGTTATGGTTAAAAAAAATGTTGAACTAAAATAATTGCACAATAAATTAGGACCTCAAATTTGAAAAGGATGTTCTAACCAACTGAGCTATCAAAAATTTTATCTATTGCCACAAAATTTTAAAAAATATATATATAAAAAGAAAATGTTCACTATGGATCCAACATGCATGGCAGCTGGTGCTCGTCGAGTGATGGATCGCCACTGTTCTTTAGCAAGAAATTAGTAAATT